AATTAAATCTCTCTGTGCGTAGATTTCGCTGTACATAATAAATATTAGAGAATCTCATACTGTATTTCTAAAATATTATCAGTAAAGAGAAGTTTAGAAATGATAGTAAAAAGGAAGTAAGTCAAAACACGGATTGGAGAGAGAGAAGTTACCTGAGAATGGGCTCCAGCACAAGTCCAAAAATTTGGAAAACTAAACCTCTGGTCCCAGTGATCGACTCAGATTGGATCCAGCAATATTATCCTGAGACATTTATATCTGACTTCATTCTTAAAATCAGGGACTTTTCTAGTCCCTCTGAATTCTGGGCATTGATTGACATTGCAGTTATAATATAAAATGATTAATTATTGCTTTTATTGTAATTTGTTATGCATAAATAATATATTAAAATATGTAATAGCAACTAAAGTTTATCAAACCTACTAATAAACTATAATATATAAATGTATTATAATCATTTATAAAATGATTAATCTTTGTTGTAAAGAGGCTGCTAATGAATGGTATAAGCTACTTGGCCTGTGACTGAGAAAAATATGTCTTAATTTGTTTAGTTTTAACTTAAACTTAACCCAAACTAGACTAGAGTGCATTCGTCAATTCAAACATCTGTGAACATAAGATGCACATTATGTGACAAATTCTTTCTAAAATCTCCCATTTCAGAACCATTTTGTTTGCCTTTTAGTGGTGCTACAGAGGTTATAGTATGAGTGAACTCTGGGAAATACGAATCTTATATTTTGGCCCTTTAAATTCCAGTTTGAATGTTACCATATAACTCATTCATTTCTGTGAATATTAAACTATTATGCTTTAATCAGGAAAGAAAAAGAATATTAGTGAAGTCTTAACCTTTCAAGCAAGTTGTGGATGTCAACGTATAATGATAAAACCAGGATATACTCATTTGCCTGATCTCAAAGCATCTGTTCCTAGGCAACTGTCTTCAAGGTCTTTAAGACTGAATTGACAGGTATTCCATTTTAGGAAGTTTGCAGATTCAAAATTTAAGGGGCAGTCAATATTTACTGAATCTATAATACGGTAGTGAAGTATATATCAGATGTTATTCACCTCTGTCATGCCATTCCTATTCAGTAGCCAGTAGCTCCCCTCATTGCGTGGGGGGAGGTAATTTTAAAGCTATTGAAATTACTGTTAAGAATCCAACTTTTATCCCGCTAGGTCTCCTAGTGGTGTTCAGAACTTTCATTTACAATATTGTTTCTGTTTTTCAAAACAATTCTTGGCCCTTATAGGATTTAGAAACCTGAAAGGCAATAAAGCTGTGTTGGAGTAACACAAGGAGAAAAATACTTAACACTGTCCCATTTTGTAGTGACAAAACTTTTAAGGAAAACAAAGTAAACAAGTCTAAAATTTCTTCCCACCCTATCATAAAAGCAAGGAGGTCTAATTGAGCCATGTCTTTTTATCCTGCTATTTGTACAAATAAAAGATCACATCTTGATGCAAAATAAACATAAAAGCACTGTTGTGACTATAACAGGGAGTCATATACTAATTTATATAATAAGTGGTTGTGCACGCTTTATTCAAGATTATGGCTGCAAGAAATGGCATGAATTGCTGGGTGTGTTTAATGCTGGATTATAGCAATTTGAAACATGTCAAACACATGGCTAATGCCTCATGCTTCACTCATTCTTGCGTAAACCTGCATAGCCACCATCCATTATACCCTTGGTAACAACACAATTCTGCAAGTAAATATTGTTACACTAAGTAACCTTTCAATTCAAGTTGTTTAGGAAGAGAAAAATGCAATCTTGTGCAGTCAGTTTCAGTGTCACTTTAATGTTTCAAAAGGGAAGTGGTGTAGAGAATAAGTATCTGTACAATGACTTGCTGATTTAAAGGAACCTAAAGAAAATGTAAGCTTAATGGAAAGAGCAGAACATATAGCAGGGAGTAAATGTATACCTACTTAATTATAATATTTAGGTAGCATTTTGAAAATAATAATTTTTAAATTTGGTTCTTATTAAACTGAAACATCTAAATGTAATTGTCTGTCTCCCACCTTTGTATGAAATATATTTGTGGTCATTGAAAGCAAATAATTTTGGTTTGAGACTCATGCACAATTCATCTTTGGGATTTTATATCTCTTTGCAGTTTTGGTAAAATAGTAAAATAAATATATATGCTTAAGTATGAAAATATATATTTTTCCACAGTTGTGTCTTTAGAAATGATTATCTTTGGAATCATACCTTTGTGTGCATTTTGTTTATTAGTTTGTATTAGTTAAAATTCAAGACATTGCAAACCATTCTTTTTCATAATACTTTTTATGAAGTATTACAAAACAAGTAATTTGGGCTTTTTGGTTCAATAATTTGAACTTGAAAATGTCTTATAAAGATACCCCAAAATGGCATATACAAACACATAAACACTCTTGCAATTTATAAGCGATTATTTAGTTTTATTTCTGCAGGGTCAAAACCCCCACACCTTTCTACAATAACTCTGGCTTATAAGGCAATGTGAATCATTTCTCTTTGGCAGATTTTAACTATGTTATTTGGGTTATGCCATACCAAATGAGAAGTAAGTGTAGCTTGTATTGAAGATTATTTTCCTTTTTTAAAAAATCTACCTGCCACCATTTTCCAGTCAATTGGGTAGTCTTGATTTGGTCCTTGACTGTATATATTTTATAGAAAATAATTCTAGCATTCAGTAATATTTCAAAGTTAAAGTATTATATATATTTGATTAACATGGATTGTACAATACATTACTGTTTCCTTTCTAATTGTAGTGAAAGAGTCACAGACCTGCAAATATCTAATTAAATATCTAATTTAATTTGAAAAATAAAATAAAATTTGGTTGATGAAGCTGCATTTATCATGCATTTATCCTTATAATGCATATAATACTGTTTCAGAAATATAGTCAAATATTTATATTGAAGAATAATGTAAAATAAATATTTTATTTTATGAAGACATGCCCTCTTTTGGAGATGGCATGAAAAAGATAAAGTACTCAGTGAATATGTTCACAGTGATACATGCTTTGAATGTGTTTTAGCAACTAAGATGTTATAATTTTATAATTTTTCTAGAGAGAAGATCCCATAGAATTCAGTGGGGTTTGAGTATCTGTGTGTGTATAATTATAAAATAATAAGATATATTTTAAGTTGGCTACAAAAACTGAGATATTCTTTAGCAAGCTCTTATGAGTTATATGAAAATTCTGTCACTTTTTTCCTAAATATTTTAAACATGGTGCATGCAAAATTGATGCCTAATTTGAATATTTATTAGCTGCCTGCTCTCATAAAATGATATTAGTTTTTTTCTTATTGAAAAACCTGTGTTTACATGTATAAAATTCATTTTTACTTGTATAACAGTTTTGTTCTTATTGATACTGAAGAGTATTTTTTAAAGAGTATTTGTTTTTACAGCTATCTTCCTTTATGTGAACTATAATTGTCCCTGTCTATGTTGTGTGTGTAAGGGGGATGACTGTCTCCTTTGAATCCAAAATACGCATTTAATATGTAGTGTTTTTAAAATGCTTTTAAAAATGTCATTAAAAACTCCTTTATGAAAAATAAACTTGTATTACCATTTAATGAAGTTATTGATGGTGATTTGGTATTTTATTGAAGAAAGTATTGATCATATGCTGAATTGAGTTGAACAATGTGTTAGGTAAACTAGTAATTACAGTAAGCAGCTGTTTCTTTTGACTGGATTTACCCACCCATTAAAGCATCTTGTCAGAAAGTTTTATCAGAAAGTTTTGCACTCTCACATTTTCTTTCCTTGGAAATTGGTTAGTTTAATATATGCATTCTTGCATGGAGATAGATGATGCATTACATAGAATTAAGATAAATTCTAAAAATAGCAAACATTGAATTTTCTTATTACTGATGTAAAATATATTTGAAATTCTAGTTTGTAAGAATATGTTGGTTCTTTATTTACTGCAAAGATTCTATCTGATCTTGGCAGGACATCTCATCTCATTGCTATCCTGAAAGTACAGTATATTTATGCAGTGAAAATGATAAAACATTTATTACTGTAGAGGAGATAATATGCATAATTTATGCTGTTTTTAGCACAATCATTAGTGATATTCTTGATAGATTTTATTTCTAGCTTTCATATCTAATACATGCCTGGAAAATTAATTTTATATCTTTCATTTATTTGCCTGTGTTAAAATTGAGTTTTAAGTCATCTTCAAGTGAACAGTTTGATTGCTGCTCATGCATAAGCTTAATTACTTCCCAGGAAGGACAGTATTAAATGTTTTAAATGTCAGAAAAATAAATGAATATCAGCCATTTGATTAAAAAAATAGGCAATATCTGAAGTGTTTGCAGCAAGAGCTTTTACTTAAAATGCCTCCAAGGCAAAATTTTATTTATTCACACAGACAAAAAGAGTAACCCATTATACTATTTATCATTGGTTGATACCATATGATTTGTAACACCCTTACAAAATTTTAATTTTGTATGATTAGCTGTGCATCATTAAATAACAGCCATGTATAAGAAATGCTGTAAAATTCTGACAGAATCTAGATAGTGAATATTTTAAATAGGATTGTATAGTCATCTATGGTTGTTAAAGCTAGATAATAGGAAAAATGGGGCAGGATATGAAATTATGCCTTCATTTTACTGGTTTGATAGCTAGGCTTTAAAATATGATGTTCAGGAATGCTGTCTCCATGTTACATATATGGATGTTATCTCTCTGTGTATATGAATCTACAGCAACATTGCTCTGAGAAACATGGTTTCAGGAATGAGTATAATATGTCTATAAAAGCAAGGTTTGTATTGCATTGCTTGCTCCTTAAATGATTGTGCAAGAGGTTTTTCCCCTTCTAAATATGCTGTCTCTGTAATTGGCGAAGAGGGACATCTTGATAATGGAAGTGTGAAGGTGTAATGTGTGTGTTAATTGATACTTCTTAATCACTTTTAGGTATTAAGTCATGATGCAGGAATCTGCGACAGAGACAATAAGCAACAGTTCAATGAATCAAAATGGAATGAGCACTCTAAGCAGCCAATTAGATGCTGGCAGCAGAGATGGAAGATCAAGTGGTGACACGGGCACTGAAGTAAGCACAGTAGAACTGCTGCATCTGCAACAACAGCAGGTAAGTTTTTGTTTGTTTTGCATCCTGTTTATTTTCATGTCGATGGAAAGGTTTTTCCTATCCTTTTCTTCTAGTTGGATTTATTTTTTTACTTTTAAAGTATTGCAGAAAGTAGAACATTATTTTGTTGTTTATTTGTTTTGTTGTCTTCTGTTAGTCTTTAAAACAGAAAATTTATGCATGTTTTAATTGTTATGATATATATCTGCCCTGGAGTACCCTGCACACTTTATTTTAAAGAGAAGAGTATATATTTGTAGATGTTGCTTTCATATCTTTTCAAGCAAAATACCTTTCTTTCAAACTGCCAGCTTCCTTGAATGATACTGAGAAAGGTGATCCTTATCTGTCCACCAGAGGGCCACATTACTTGCTATTTTACATCTTTGTAGATTGAAATTGTTCCTAAACTCAGCTGAAGTAAAAGTGCCACAGGGATTCTTTGCAGCAAAGATGCTTTGCTATAGTTCTTGTAAATAATTTTTTTTGAAATATATATATATATATAAAGTTGAAAGGACACCTGAGCAGACTAATTGAAATACCTTTTTAGAGATGAAAGAATTGCTATACTCCTTTAGCCAGGAGACTAGGAATAAAGTAATTTCCTAAATGACTATTTGTGTGTGTGTATTTGTGGTTATGTGCGCCTATATTGCTTCCTGTGTATGTAAGTAACTAAAACTTTTAATATTTATAAAAATGAATAGGGAAATATATCCAAGTAAATGATGGTCTTTTTAGACAGGTTGAGTAAGTTACAAACAGATAATCAATAAATTAAATTTATGCTTTTTACCACGAGGAATTTAAGATACACATTTAATACTTTTTAAAATCCTTACTGCTGTTATTAAAAAGTAAAACTAGGCTATTTCTTTCTTCTAGTTATATATAAAGACCAAATATTTCAGGGTGCTAAATATCATGCCTAAACTGCTGAGCTTCTTTTGAGAATGTTAAATGTTAAAGTATTGAATATTTAACTTGTTAATAGATATATATTTTTATGGTGTACATCATGAGCAAAAAACATAACATAATGTTAAAATTGAATTTTAGTGGAAAATTTATAGAGCTTTATATTGTTCGGTTTAGGCCTTTATAATCACAAATAAATGTGGCAGTCATTATTAAACTATTCTTAATATTAATGTTGAATGAATTATACACTATTATTTGTTATGGTGATATGGAACAATTATAATAAGCTTATAACTGAAAATTTAGCAGTATCTATAAATTTTATAGCTGTGCATTGTTTCACATTCCAGTTTTCTTTCCCTTCTTAAAATTATAATTGTTTATATATTTTAACATTTATTTTATAAACATTGTCTAATCAAACTTTGACTTTTAAAACCATTTAAAAAATTGGAAATTTGCTTAGGTTATAGTCCTAAATTCTTCTCCTAATTACTTTATTAAATTTTCCTCTGAATAATATGCATGGGAGTGCTCTATTAATATTTTTAAAAGATAAGCAATCATTTATAGCAGAAACCATCCTCACAAAGTGCAATTTAACATTTCTCAGAGCATCTTAAAAACTTAAGCCTGTTTGTTTATGTAGTCATAGTTTCCAATAGTAATGTAGAAAAAAAGATAAAAATACTGTAATGTCAGACAGATTCCGAAAAGGGAAAACTTGGCAGCAATATTGTTCTTTAATTTCTAAAGTTTCAGAAGATCTCAAAATAAATAAATAGGCAAAGTAAATATGCAAGTCTCCTTAGTGAATTCAGAAAACTTTGAGGGTAGATTTATACATTATAGGCTGTAAATATTTTTGTTTACCAAAACATGATTTTGGCTTTATGTGAAAGAAAACTTGATTTCTGTGTGCTTTATATAGTTGTTGGTATATTTGCACACATGTGTGCGCATATGGACAAAATATGTACTTTTTCTCTGAGGTATTTTCACAAATATGTTTGAATTAGTGTATAATTTTGAATCTTCACTGTGTGAACCTTACACTCCTTGAAGTGTTACAGTTTCATTTACTTTCCTTTTTCTGTTGAACTTTGCCATTAGACTTTGATGTAAGCTATTGCACTTTTCAAAATTTGGTGCACAAAGAATAGGTAAACTCCAGTATTTTATGTTATTGCTTTTTTTATCAGAGCATTTAGTTGAGTTGATACAAATATCTCCATGCAATTAAACAGAAGACTAAGGTTTGTGAACAGTGGAACTCCTTTAAAGTGCTTTGGAAGACATGGCCAATCATATGGTAGTTGCAATATAATCAGAAAAATTAACAGAAATTGTTAGATTAAAGGAGATAAGCAATCTCTTGAATGATACTGTGTGAATTATTTATTTACTGTGATTGGAGTTTTGTGCTTTTTGCTTGATTGGTAGCATGAACAATTCCAGAATATTTGATTTGAAATTTGGCAATAATTTGTAATAATATGACAGTGACAAAACAGAACAATATAAGATATTTGATAACTGGATTGGGTTTCCTCACAAATTGCCAGAACATCTTTAG